CTTCAATCTAACTGCAAAGGATCCTCCCATTCGGGGTATAAGACCCAGAGGCCCCGTTTAAAGCGTGGCTTGCTCCCAGGCCGTAACCTGGGTAAGGCCACTGTGGGCACCCCGTTTGGCCCGACAGACGAGACGAAGGCTGTTTGAGGTCCTTTGCTTGGCTTTGAGCCTGTTGGGGGTGGTGCTGGTTGGGATGCGGGTCCTAACAGCGAAGCTGTAGAGGCACCAGTAGCGGCCGAGGGTGATCCTCTCCCGACCTCAGCGATCGCTGAGCTTCCAGCCTTGTCACCCCAACTGATTGCGAACTTGCACGGTTTCGCTACCCCCGAGGCGCTTGTTGCTTGGGAGAGTGACCAGCGCCGTCGGGAGGACGTTTCGGCGGATTGGGATGAGGAGGATAGCATGGGCTAGCCTCCTGCTTTCGGCCTGTGTGCCAGGGGGTGTGGACCCACCCCGGATCATCAGTACCCTCAGTACCCTCCTCCTCCTCCTCCTCCTCCTCCTCCTCCTCCTCCTCCTCCTCCTCCTCGGGGTGTCGCGGGGCCTACGGTTGGGAACTGTTGCTCAGCGCTTCGCCGCGGCGGCCCTGGCGAGAAGCCATGCCCTGCAAGCGGGTGCCGCGCCGAGAAGTGGTGGGCCGGAACTGGAGGCACTACACACTGAACCACAGTCCCTGAAGCACAGTCCCTGAACAGACGATGACGACGACGATGACGACGGCGACGAGGACAACGACGACGACGACGATGGCGGCGGCGATGACGACGACGACGACGATGACGACGATGACGACGGCGACGACAACGACGACGACGACGACGACGACGACGGCGGCGGCGATGACGACGACGACGACGACGACGACGATGACGACGGCGACGACAACGACGACGACGACGACGACGACGACGACGATGGACGACGACGACGACGGACGACGCGACGACGACGACGACAGTATCGACGCGACGAGGGACGACGACGACGGGGGGCGACGACGACGACGACGACGTCGGCACGACGCCGACGACGATGACGACGGCGACGACGACGACGACGACGACGACAGAGACGACGACGACGACGCACGACGACGACCGGGAGAAGGATGAACGACGACGACGACGAGGACGACGACGACGACGACGACAACGACGACGACGACGACGGGGGCGACGACGATGATGGCGACGACGACGACGACGACGACGACGACGACGACGACGACGACGGCGACGACGACGACGATGATGATGACGACGACGACGACGACGACGACGGCGACGACGACGACGACTACGGCGGCGGAGGCGGCGGCGGCGCCGACTTCTGGAGCCCTCCGATGACGACGACGGCAGCGGCTGCGACAAAGACGACCTCCGGAGCTTTCCTGGCGCACCACAGTACCACGCCACACACGCCACACCCACAGCACTGCACCACACCCACAAGAGGTGGGAGACCCAGACCCTCGACCATAAATGGTCCAGGGTGAGGCGTGGCACTGTTCTGCTCCAGGAGAACTCCGGAGGTCGTCGTCGCCGCCGCCGCCGCCGCCGATGGGAGGGCTCCAGAACTCGGCGGCGGCACCGCCGCCGCCGCTGCCGCCGCCGCCGTCGTCGTCGTCGTCGCCGCCGCCGTCGTCGTCGTCGTCGTCGCCGCCGCCGTCGTCGTCGTCGCCGTCGTCGCCGCCGTCGTCGTCATCGTCGTCTTCGCCGTCATCGTCGTCGCCGTCGTCGTCGTCGCCGCTGTCGACGTCGTCGCCGCCGCCGTCGTCGTCATCGTCGTCGTCGTCGACGTCGCCGTCGCCGTCGTCGTCGTCGTCGTCGCCGTCGTCGTCGTCGTCGTCGTCGTCGTCGTCGCCCCCGTCGTCGTCGTCGTCGTCGTCGTCGCCGTCATCGTCGCCGTCGCCCCCGTCGTCGTCGCGTCGTCATCGCCGCCGTCGTCGTCGTCGTCGTCGTCGTCGTCGTCCCCTCCCATCCCATCAGGGGGGGGCGCCGTGGAGCCCTGGGACCCATCCCATCTGGAGGGGGGGGGGCCGTGGGCCCGCAGCCCGGGATCATATATGCCTATTCCACCTTAGGGGGTGGGCTGGCGGGGTCGGTTAATCGATGCTGACCGTCGCCCTCCACACCGAGGAGCGCTGCCCTGTCCCCACCTTGAGGGGTGGGCTGAAGAGGGCGGCATGCCACGGACCAATGGAGATGGGGATCGGTCAACCGGTAAGGGTCCTTAGACACCCCCCCAAAAGGTGGCAACCAATCATATTATTGGCGACCTTACTGCAGGACTGGAGACCAAAAAATAGCGAAACATGATGTTTCATCCGCGGCACCAACCGCGCAACAACAACAACAACAATAGTAGTAGGTAGTAGGTAGTAGGTGGTAGTAGGTGGTAGTAGGTGGCAGTAGGTGGCAGTAGGTGGTAGTAGTAGTAGTAGTAGTAGTAGTAGTAGTAGTAGTAGTAGTAGTAGTAGTAGTAGTAGTAGTAGTAGTAGTAGTAGTAGTAGTAGTAGTAGGTAGTAGTA